GGGGGTTGGACTAGATGACCTTTAGAGGTCCCTTCCAACCCAAACTATTCTATGATTCTATGATTCTCTATTTTATCTTATACAGGAAAACCAGAAAGTATTATTAGAATCAGGGCAAAAAAGGGAAAGTACGGTCCTATTGTGCTCATCACTGTGGAGTCATGTAGGTGGGACAAATCCCAACCCCCTCCCAGGAGGTTTACAATGGAGCTGGAGAACAGACAAGGGCGGGAATAAGACTGGAGAGCACATGAGCTCAAATGAAACTCAAACAGATCAGCTGAGTTTGAGCAAGTGAGATACACAAAGAGAAAAAACAAATGGACAACATTAATAGTAAAAAGTGTCTCATATATCAGAAAGATTAATTATCTGATGTTACATGCTTCATAGTTTTCCCAAGCTGTGTTGCTATGGAAGACTTACACTTCATCTCCTGAAAAAATATTTGTAAAAACTATGGGGAATTTCTGCATTATTTTTATGAAAAGTATGTATGAGTCAGTGCTGTGCTGTGACTGACTGCAAGGGTCGATTCTTCCCCTTGGACATGGGAGTGAAAGGTCACACAGACTTGTCTAGATTGATATTAATGACACAAAATCATCAGCATATGCATAGATTTCAAAGATGCTGGGGAAAAGAAATCGAGGAGCAGACATGAACAACTGATGGCCAAGGAAGGCAAAAAAAGGCTGAAAGCAGCACAACTGGAAATACAGAATAAAGTTGTCAGCACACTGCGAAAAGCACACAGCCCCTCAGTGCAGGGCCACAGGTGAAATCCCAGATGCTTGGGACAGGCGGGCCGGTGACACTGCTGTGTCTGACATACGCGCAGGCTTTGCATTTACATTCTAGCCTGAGGACACTAAAATAACCCGGTTCTGGCTGACTAATAAAAGCTCCCTGGCTTGGAAGAGAACAACCTATGCTATTACAATCTTCTGCAAGGCTGCATAGGAGGGGTGTATGTCTAGTAGGAGTTAGGGGCTCTTTTTTGGTGAAAAAGGGCGGGACTGAAACGAAACAGCAGGCTCAGAGCAGCGGAAGCACCTGAGCGCTCTGAAAGCACCACCAGCCCCGTCGGTCCTGGGACAGCGATGTGAGGCTGGTGCAACGCTATGCAGCCTTGCAAGTAGTCACTGGCATGAGAGCATACACCAGGATGGAGGATCAGACCCTGTGACTTTCATGAGGTCACTGTCCTTTTAAGCGTTAAGAAACTGAGGTTTTCTATCATGGAATCAGGTCAGCTAATAACAAAGTCAGTGAAGAACAGCCCTTCCCTTCTCAACCTTTGCCTG